GCAATGTTACTACAATGTTGCAATGTTGCTGCAACGTTCTGTGCTGTATGGGAAGGATTATGGGATATAATTTTCATTTTTTTTCCTGCATGTTTATAACATACTGCTCCTTTAAATGATTTCCTACTTTTAACAATAGTTTTTCAAACTGTGTCGTTTTGTCATTTGTGAATCCCTTTTTGTGTCTTATTTATTTGAATATTTCAACCATCCAAAATCTTTTGCCGCATTTGTATTTTAATTTTATTTTAATTTACATTGCCAGAGTAGTAACGTTTCATAATATATCTTTGATTAATAATAATAATAACACACACACATACATACACACACACACACACATCTGTTGTATACTGTTTTTAGTGATGTAAAGACCGAGAGTAACGAAATGGGCAATTCCCATTTGCTCTTAAAACCAACTCTGAAAATCTTACTCCTCACTCTGTACTGCCTACTGCCATTGTAGAATGCCCTTTAACAATTACTTGTTAAAATTAAGAGATAAATTGTAAGAACAATTAATTTTTAGATAATAATTTTTACTATACTCATCTGTAAATAAAAAAAGAAAATGAAGTTGGAGTTTTTACACTGTTAAAATTACACTGTTATGGCCTTAGCTATAAAAGAAAAAGATTTTTATTTTTTATTTTTATTGATTTTTTCCAAGACATAATCTGTGATTCTTATTATCCTAATTTAAAAAAACACGTTAGAAATTAATTGTAATCTAACAATAAGTTTACAATAATATATATGGAGATGAGACACCTACATATTCCATATATATATTTCTTTTTATTTCATTTTCTTTTTATCTTCTACTTTTCCTTTCATCCTCCTATGATGATTGGTTTAAACAATGCAGAAAAGTAAAATTTTTTTAATGGAATAACCAACAAGCAAGATAAACATTAAAAATTAGCGTGATTTCAGAGATTTTTGAGCGCTAACTTTTTAAGGAAACATTTTTCGACCCATGTTTATAGGAAATTTTTTGTTTAGAATTAAATTTCCTACAAAATCTCAAAGTCTGGCCGTTTGGACCCATCCTGTATATATACAGCATTATACATAACTCTTCCATTTTGTGTTTTAGCGTTGGTGATTCATCAAACAATAAAATAAAATTATTTGGAAACAAAAATAGTGTTAGAAAATCTTCGAAAATACATTAACCTAGAATCTCTTTAGAAAGTACATTAATCCCTATTGGATATCGCAATATATGTAAAATAAAGACACTTTTGTTACGTAATATGCATTGAACACTAAATAGGAATTATTCTCCAATACTAAAAATAATGACTTTAGTGGGTAATGCATTATGGATAAAAATGAATTGGTCGCTTTCGCTGTTAACTATATTTTGCAAACATACACACACACAAGCACGCACGCACGTAGTCATTTTTATTATTATACAATAATACACAACAAGCATTTTATTACGTATATACTCGTACATATATCGGGTATCAGACGCAATGACTTTCGCTCTATTACACTATATACATTTATATATATAAATAGACACACACACATACACGCACTTTTTATTACGTATATACATATATCGGATATTGGACGCAATCACTTTCGCTGTTAACTACATTTTGTACACATACATACAGTCATTTTTATTATTATAGAATAATACACACTGGCATTTTATTATGTATCCAAATTAAATCAGCTGTTTTGCGACGTTGTCAATTCGCAATAATCATATTGTGATAACATAGTATAATTATATTTCATTGAATAATTCTATCATTAAAAGATAAGTACTCTATAATTCAGTGATTCGTGAAAGAAGCTGAGTGATATATTTTGAAAAGTAGTGAGAATTTTTATCTAAAACATATTATATATATTATTTAAGATATTATATTTTATCGAAATAATTGGATTTTATATATAAGTGTACATAAGTAAAATAAAATTTTATGCGATTTTATGTGATTACATGTGATGGCAACTATATTATGATAGTTTTGCCAATCGATAATGCGTCTGATATAAAACTGATATAAAATGTATGGAAAAAGGAGAAGTATATCATATCACGATATTCTAGAGAAACAGTGTCATATATAGCGCAAAAAAAAGAAGAGACAGAGAGGGAGAAAGAAGAAGAGAGAAAGAGAAATGAAACATTTCGACAAATAAGATTACGCGAACGATAAGATTACACGAGCCTTTAACTAACATACAGACACGATAAGCATCATCTCGTATTGAGGCTTCAACCGTGCCGAATCGATTTCCATAATGCCAGGTGAGTAAAAAAAAGGAATTTCCCTAAAGAGTACATGTTAAAAATAGATATAGAATATCAAACTCTTTAGTTTCTTTTATAAAATTAACTTTTTTATTCTCTTATTCGCTTCACGCTTATCTCCCATTAATTTATTATCAATATTTGCTATTATGAATATTTAATCAAATGTCGTCATTTTTCACATTTTTATCTTTTTATTATTAAAGAAAATTTGAAGCATTAATTAAAAAAAACTCGGATTATAATTCTATCATAATATACATATACATATAAATTAAAATTAATTTAAGAAAATAAAGTTTTATTTGCTGTCCTCATTTTTAATATTCAATTTCCGAAAATTTATTTTTTAGAGAGAGAGAGAGAGAGAGAGAGAGATCCTAATTGCTTATAATTAAAAATCTATCTCAAATGTCTATAAAAAAGGATGTGCGTATATTATAAATACATATGTGCGTGCTTATATATATTATTTTTGTCATTTTATATATGTTATTTTTGTATTGCATAATGAAAAAAATTATTATTGGATATTAATTTTTTCTTAAAATTTAAAAAAATCTGTCATTAAGTTTAAGTAGTCACTTTAGTTTATAAAGTATGAGTCATATGAGTGGTAGAGATAATATGTGTGATATGAAATCATCCGTTATATGAACCTTCTGGAAGACTTTTATCGATTACTTGAACTGTTTTCTTTTTACTTTACCTGAATTTTAACTAAATTTTATATTAAATCAAATAATATATCTCTCACTCAAATATATATCTCTCACTAAGCTCTAAACTCTAAATAATCGAAGTTTTTCATTTACACACTCTGACGAGATAAGATTGAAAAATTATATAAAGCTTAGTAGATCCATTTGAGTTAATTCACTTGGCATATCTCAGTATTATTGATAGTTTGTCATTTTGTTACAGCCTACAGGTGGGTAAACCGTACCGGTAATCAATCGCTGCCAGAAAATGCGGTCACCGGCGGCCGCGATTCTGACGGAAGCACGATTTACGTTGGCAGAGCCTTCCACAATGGCGACATGTTGCCAGCAAAAGTGATTCCTGATAAAAACGTCGCTTACGTTAGTCATAACGGCGAAGAACATCCTAAAGATAGTTTCGAAGTGAGTAAAAAATGAAATTTCTGTTTCTCGATGTTACAAAATTTTTCTATTTTTTAAATTATCTTTACTCATAAAAAGCGATCATTAGCATTAAGCAAGTGTTTTCCTGTATGCCTCTAATAAATAGAATCATTAAAATAATATTAGTTTTCTTTTTCACGATCTTTTTACAAAAATAACAGTATTATCATCAATTTGCATGATAAAGGATAATATAATGTCAGTACACACATATGCACAACGATTTCCTGTAATAGCGAATAAAACAATTACAAATCATTTTTGCAAGTTACGTAACGTGCCATAAATAAGTAGTCAAAGTACAAAACTTAAGATTAATCGGCTGTATTTAAGTTCAAGATAATCTTGAGATATCATAGCGAGTGAAGCAAAGTTTGATTGCTCTGAATTCTGAGAGCGATTAAACCCAATTGACCATGAACATATGTTCGACCGAAAATGAGTTTTGAGTTTAATTAATATAAATAAGTATATCTCTAGTAACCCAAGACGGTGTTTATGACATGATTAATCGCTCTCAGAATCATCAAATTTGCTTCACTCGAAAACGCTATCAGTTTTTCTGCGAAGATTGAAAATCGACCGCAAGATATGATTCGTGGTAAGCGCTATAAACTGTGTGAAAGATTATTATTATAATGACATTTTTTTGTCTCATCTGATAATCTTCTCTGATGAAATAATAATGATAAGCGAACAAACGCTGCTATAATTAATTGTTAATATAACATTATACATAATTATTGTTATTTACTAATTATTATTTACGATAAATTCATATCAGGTCCTTTGCCAAGGCGAATTTGCATGGGAATTCTGTAATAATGGTGGAGTACCAACGGATGCGGTAATCGCCGGTCAAACAGCGGACGGGGAACCTCTATACGTTGGCCGTGTCCTCCATAACGGGTCTCAAACAGTTGGCAAGGTCAGCCTTTTCGGCAGTTGTCTGTTCTTAAGATTCACAGCAATTGTGTGCATATATGTATGATAAGAATATTAATTTTTCATATTCCGCGTTTAATATGTAACATTTATTTTAATTGTGCTCTAGTCCTGTTTACTTACATATATGTGTGTACGTGTGTGTGTAATAAAAAAATATAATCTAAATATTTTAAAATAATTTTTTCAGATACAACAAAGTCACGGATGTCTGTACATTCCATTTGATGGCGAAGAATTGTCATTCAAGGATTACGAAGTACTCGTCATGCATTAATTAAAAATTCTCGATGTAATATACATTTTATATATGGTCAAAATTAAAAGTCAAGCAACAATCTCCACATATGCCGCTAAATCACGAGGACCTGCACAAGAAATTATTGTGCAAACAAACAACGTTCCTTTCTTTTTAAATATTTGTAAAAATTTATTAAAAAGATGATTATAAATAATACAACTATAAATAGTTGCAACTAATTATTTCAAATATTGTTTTTAACAAGCAACAATCAAATATAAAAATAATATTAATTAAACAATTTATATTTTTTATTCATTCCTTAGTAAAATATTTATATAATTCACTCTATTAATTGATAGTAATATTTGTTACAAAAATTAAATCTATGGATACAAATAATTTTTAATCTCTAAAAATATTGTAAAAAACTTAATATAATGCAATATTATTATATTCTAATTATAACAAAGAGAATTACTCCTATTATTTTTTGCCTTTGTTTTATATAAAGTATCTTTTATAGTAGTTGCAAAATTTGTTATAAAATAACAATGCATACTATTGTCAAAAGGAACATTTAAATCAAATTATCGATAAATAACCCAGCAATATACGAATGGTTTATAAAAATAAATGAAACACAAATGTGATTGCTAAAAGCATTGTATCACACCGAAAAAAATGCGTATAGGAGAAATCGTTTCCGTTCACTTAATTCGATAATCGAAAAAAGATATCGAAAGTAGTTTTATGCGCTGAACGCGGAATTAAAATCATTAATTGGCTCCATGGTTATTATTATTGGAAATCCACGATTCTTGAGTAACGGTTCAACAGAGCGAGAATGCAAACAAATCAAATATGTATATTAAAAGTAGTAATAACTTATTACACGATATATTAGTAGCTTTTTAACGGTAGCAGTAAATAATCGGTTCATCACATCGCGAAAGAAGTTCATATCTCTCTCAGCAAACACGGCCGCCATGATGATCGAAGAGGATGACTCTTGGGTGATGACGACCACCAATGCATCCTCGTCGGTCGGATATCAAGACAGAGGTGCCGGTGACAGCTCTGCATCGAATATTTTATAAGCATCGCTGTGAAATTGCGAGCATTACTCACTTGACAGTGTCATACGTCAGACTTGAGAGCCAGGGCCGCCTCTAGGTTTCTTTCGGCCTCTCTAGGTTGCGACCTTGCGAATTTTCATTGATTTCGCGATTCCGCATCGTAAGTTTCGAGAGCTTAGCATGTCGTTTTAGACCTTCAGACCTGGTCGATCAAAGACACATGAAGCATTTGTTTAAACAAATTAAATAAACAAATAATTTCACGAGAATTTACCGGTGATATGAGACGGTAATAGCAAGACATGGCAAATTGCAAGGAATATCACATGCGATTCGTTGCACGCGAGTAAAAACGCGATAATGCCATCGGCAATGCTCCTCACCAGCTGACGAGCCGTTGCGAATAGCTTCAAAAGCACCGTAGATAATAGCACTTGAACGGCCCTGTCTAAAATAAGCTTTGACTGTAGAACGCTGGGACCGTAGCGATTACTTTATCAACGAATTGTCACATTTAACAGTGCCTCGTCGAGTTACGCGCGGCAACGATTCGACGACGCTCCCTGTTTACGCTCAGTTGTCATCATCCGTTCAACATTGTCGACATAGAACGCGATCACATCGTGGTTAATGCAGTGCGATCGTTTTTTTTTTGGCTAACGAGTCTCTTGCGTTTCTCATGTAAAAAATCACGCGTCTGGTGATCGAAAATGCTTGTCTTCACGCCACCGCTCAAAGTTATTCGCGCATTATTCTTGGTGAAAAGAAGAAACACTTTCGGATAATAACTACTACTGTGGAAAGAAAGAATTTTTGTACCGAACAGGACATATTGAGAATGATCGAAGACTATGCGAATCATTCGAATGGATTGCTCGGTGAAAGAAGCTTACGCAATAGAACTGGCAAGGTAATCGTACAGTTTCGCGAGTAACCTTTCACGAATCTTTGACCCGAGTACGAAAATATTCACACCTCACAAGAAATTTCGACACTAACTTTGGGATCTCGATTTACATAACTCAACGCGATAACACTTTCTATAATACATTCTTCGACGTAGTAACGCACAGTTGGCGGATCACGATCGGGAATCAAGATTGTCGACAAATAGGAACAATGTACCGTCGAATCGTAAGATACATGAAGCCGAAAAAGATCATTATTCGCCGACGCAAGAACAAATATTCCTTAGGTAGAAAAATGAACATGATAATTATTACTCGTCGTCCATTTATGAATATGTCACTTTCAGTCGAGAGTGAGTTAGACTTTATGTAACATGGCATTTATCAGAAGCACGTATCCATAAAGAAATATTTGGCACGTGTCAACTCGTTATGTTCCATTGTAAGAGACATCCACGCATCAAGGTAATTGCCATGTTTTTGATGCATCAGCAGAATGAAATAAATAAGATAGATAAAGCGATTGCCGAAGAAGAGTAGAATTGAGAGAGCAAAGTGGGAAGATTCTGCAGTCCTCGGGTGTACCGTGGGCATCAACGTCGTCAACGGAGACTGACCTTGACCTGAAAAATAAGCGCGAAGCGGAATCGGAAGCGGTTCGCCGGTCGCTAGAGGGCTAAAGCATTAGCCGCGGGTCTCGTAGCGGATTGTCGTAAAAACGATAGCGATTGCTCGCGAACAACGTTGACGACGTTGCCCCATCGACGCGTGTGTTAATACCTAGGTTGAACGTTGTGTATGAAGGCGGATCAACTCGTACGTTACAGGAGCGGCGCCGTAGGCTGATCGTAGAAAAGAGCGTAACGGAAAGCGAATCCGGGGAGAGAAGAGGGGGTAGATGGTGGTACGAAACGCTGGCGGAGACCGGCGAAGGAAGGAGATAGATAGAGCACCGACGCGTCTCGTAATGCACGATGGTGCATTAGCCCGAAGTCGCGAGACCACCGTGCGATTTCTCTCGCGCTCTCGCAACGGAACTCGCACCTGAACTCGCACCTGAACTCGAGAGCCATTCCTCCAAAGTTGTATCGCGCTGTTGGACTTGGACCCATTATACATTCGGAAAGAGACCTCCAAATATATATGACTCCAATCGTCTCTGTGTAAAGTGAGATATCTTTTTTTCTTTGACGAAAGATATGTCTGAAATCACGACGACTATCGGTGCGCCTGCAGGGCTCACGCCAGAGAAGAAACAAGCGAACCTGACAGTGGCCGATAAATCCAACAGTGCCATCACTTGGAAGTCCATGAGTATCCAACAGAAATGGTCCTTCCTGACTAGCAACATCACCGTTGAGCCGATGGTCGCGTGTTATGTGATCCCTAGCGTGCTCTCTTCGCTGGCTACGCAGAATCTTATTCTCGAAAAGGCGTGTCGAGTGAATCTGGCTTATTCGGATGAGATATGCTCGGCTCTATCTGCCAGAAACACCAGCGGCTACGAGGCCGAAGAGACCGCGGTTCAACAGCTGGTGGCGCGTATGCAAACATGGAAGACACCGTTGCAAAGCGCCTTGCCGGCCATTCTAATTTTGTTTATGGGTGCGTGGAGCGATCGCACCGGTTTGAGAAAGCCTTGTATGCTGCTGCCGATCATTGGCGAGTTCTTCAGCAGCGTCACTCTTATCGCTTGCACCTACTGGTTTCACGAGCTGCCCATGGAGGCGGTTGTACTAGAGGCTGTGTGGCCTGCGTTAACCGGCGGCTGGTTTACCATGTTTATGGGCATCTTTAGTTACATAGCAGACATCACGTCCGTAGAATCGAGAACACTTAGGATCGGCGCGGCCAACGTTTTCCTATCCCTCGGCGTGCCAATTGGCATGGCCCTATCGGGGATACTGTACACGAAGCTGGGTTTTTACGGTGTCTTTACTATCTCGATGGTGTGTTATGTAATGAGCTTTGTGTACGGATTAGTGGTCATTAAAGAGCCACCGAGGGTACTTGCGGAGCGTGCGCGGAAAAAGACCCTTCCAAGCAAGGGCAAACGAATCTCGGTGTGCGCTTTTATTCTGAACTTTTTCTCGTTGAGGCACATAGAGGAGACGTTTCGCGTAGCGTTCAAGAAAGGAGCAAACAATCGCCAGAAAAGAGTCATCGTACTCATGGTTATTATTATGGTTGTCATCGGACCCCTTTACGGTAAGTTTTTCAAATAAATAAAATCCTTTAAATATATCTTCTATAAATATCCTCTCGTTTCTTTTTCGATTGCGTCTATAGTTAATGTGATAATGCAAGATAACTTAATACGAGAGAGAGAGAGAGAGAGAGAGAGAGAGAGAGAGAGAATCATTAAAAAGCGAGAAAATGATTAATGCCAAGAAGAACTAAGTATTGCATGCAACGCTATGAGAGAGTCTCAATTTTAACAATATCATTAACATTACTCGAGAAAGTTGTTTCGAAATGTATAAGTTTATTTTTGTGATTGTTAAAAATGTACATATAATTGTTTTAAAGCAAAAGCACAAAAATCAAAAAAATATTTTTTATCTTGTGTGAATTATTTTGCTATTACTTTGAAACATTTGCTTCCTAATTTGAGCTATTATCATAATTGTAAAAACAAAAGCATCGATAATTTAACCTTATTATTGTGCATATTTTAGTTTATATGTTTATAATTTATTTTTCTAATTGTCTTTAACTAAAACATAAAACATACTATATTCACAGAAATATAAAATTAATCAATTTTAAATGAAAGTAATTGGGATTAATAATTAGTCGTATTATGCAGGCCAGAAATGAATTATAAATACATTAGAAATTCAACGATTTAAATATGCAAATATACTTGGACTTGTGTGTGAATTTGATTACATAATTTTTTTTTAAATCGGTAAAAGCGCATTGTGTAGTAACAATTAAAAATAAAATATATCCATCATTTTTTGCGTGCATCCGTAGCACAGTAAAAACTTGCTGTAATTCTCGTCAATCTTGCTATTCGCGTTGCGGTAACTGTGCACATTCCCATTAGTAATTACTTACGTCCGACAGCGTGAATATATTGTATGCGAAGGGAAAGTAAGAGAAGACATGTGTAAAACTAGGCACACATTTATACGAGCGCGAATATGTGGTGTTACTTAGATGTATGTACCCTGGTATGTACTATGTGCCTTCTAACAAATAATTTACGTATTTTTAAGCGTCGATAAAAATATGCATAATAAATTACGATATCGGCATATAGATATACCAAGTGTTAATGGCGTATTAATATTAATATTGTATTAATACCAAACGGTACATTGATAACACAATAAAGCTTCTAGTTTCAGCTAGAGAAGCTCGTCCAAGCACGCGACCGCTCGGATCATTCAATTTTTCAATTAGCGTGCATTTGTTACAGCGCGCTATCGCGACTTTAATGCGATCGTGCACGTTTGTACGGCGACAACGCACAATTCCAGTACATTTCGCGGATGCCCTTGTCACAATTTAATTATATAGATACTGTCGTTACAATGTCTGGGTACGCATTAAGCACGTATTACCCCAACTGCTAAGTGACGTGGACAGTCGTCAGCGGACTTATAACAATTTCGTGTAATAGGCGTCTTCCTGATTTTGAATGCCCTAATGCGGATATACCTGTAAGATGTTATACTTTTCTTAACTCTCTCTTTTCATTATAGTCATACAAGAGATTCTCTTAATAACTCTTGTGAATCAAGAGTTATTAAGAGAATTAACGCGTATCCCGATAGCTTATTTTTATAGAGCGAACGAATAAACAAAAGATCCGTATAAATATCGTATCCAGATAAATTTCAGCAGTTATATAAAATCTAATATCTTTTAAATATAATTTTCATATCAATGTATAAATATTCAACATGCAAGAGATGTATCAATTATTCTATACTTTAATACAAAAACTTGGTTCGTCATTTCTTATAAAAACTTCTAATTATAATTAATATAAATCTAAATATAATTAATATTTTCAAGATAACAAACAGTGACTTTCAAAATAAACTTCGTTACTACATAAAAGTTAAAAAAATTGTGCTCTTATTTTTTTGTGATATTAATTTGCACGGTAAAATATATAATAATAAAATGCATACACAAAAGGAAAATGTTAAAATTTAGAAAATAAATATTCAATTTATTATAT